TATTTTCCTGGAAACAACTACGTCATATAAATAGTAATGACCAGTTTGTTTTGAGTTCACATAAATGATCACAACATCGCTCACAGAAACCAACGCCACATCACTGGGAGCAGAGTGAAAAAAAAGCACAAAGGAGTCCACTTACAAGAAAATGGCCTACGATTCATAAATCATCCTCTTCAAACAAGTTTGATAGCAGCCCCACTGTCAGCTAAATTCCACTTTACTTTCAACATTGATGTGGATAAACAAGCACTGTTTACGAAAACTAACTCAAAATTCAGTTAGTTTCCAGTTTGTTGTAAGTGAACACCACTGTAACATGATTTTTAAAAAAGCCAGACACATTTTTCAAGTACGGTGTAGCTTTCCACCCGGACAGCAGTCAGGCAAAGCTGTTTTCAAGAAACCAAAACTTGCAAAAGCTGCAGAATTAATAAGCATAAAAAGCAGAAAAAAACATGACAAGCTGATGAATAAATAATGTCACCTTGGTATCAGTAAACTCGAATTTCGCAGATCCAATACAACAAAAACCAAGGGGGGAAAAGTTTTTGAAAAGCAAGCCTTGAAAATGCCAATGCCAGTATAGAGAAACGTAACATCTGAAGTCAACAAAATAATCATGTCATACCATTGCCAATAATATTCTCTACAGACAGTATGAAGTAAACAAACATGTGGAAAAAGCATTAACTCATAAAATCAATGTACAAAATGTATTAAACTGCGAAGCACATTAGCATTAAATGTCCACTGAAAAAAAGAACAAAAAACCCAAAACAAAACAATAAAAGCAGAAGACGAAGCGTGTTGCAGATTCAGGAACTCAAGATGTAAAGAAAATCTAGACTTTTGTACTCCTAGATCGTGTACTGTCAAGACCTACTCCACTCTTCACTCTCAAATATTTTAAAACCCTATCCGTACGCCCTGGTGTCTTTTTGTACCCCCGGGGTTGTATTCTTCACATTTTAGAATACTTCTAGTACGGAGATCTCTTTGAAACTTTCAGTATTTCTCAAAAAAATCATTTTGACAGACTGCTATGCAAAGCCTACGGATCGGATTAACGAGTAAATTTCCTCTTTGGAAAGTGCTGGCACAGAGTTTCTCACGTCGTATAGATACGATTGTAAAACACGACGTACAGATAGGTTACCGAGAACGAGCAGTATCTAATCGGCCGTGTCCAACGTTTCGCCCAAACGGCGCGTTCCATAGTGAACCGGAAGTACACCACAGTGCACGATCTAGGATTTAGGACATAAGTCTATGACGCAAAAAGAACAAGAGATGAATTTGTGTAAAGTTAACAAAATAAAAGACAAAAGCAACAAAATAGCGGCCTGTTAAGCAAACATAATCAGCGGCGTAACCACAAAGTTAAGGCAATGCAACTTTTAACTTTTATTAAAAATGGCGCTCACAATATGATAGAGGGGATTCTGGGAGACAACAATGCTGTGTTCTTATGTTCTTACAGTAGTGAAATCAAAGAGTTTACATTCCAGGAGAGTTTTCTTTTCCGTTTGATGTCTAAACACCCCATTAACCCCCCCAATAATCCCCCCCCAAAAAAAAAAAAAAAAAAAAAAAAAAAAAAAAACCCGCAGGATGCGACAAGTCGGTTTAAGTATAATATGACAAGTAGTATTGCGTGCCGGAGATTATCAATTAAGTCCACTGATGTCTAGTTCTCAAAGAAGATCAAAGACTGTACTAGTAAGCCTACACAATATTCAATTAATTCATTTAACTATTTTTAAGGGTGTGATTCGCCTTGTGGTACACTGTTTAAGGAAAAACACAAAAGACGCCATAATATTAATCATATTGTGTTGGAGCAATCCAGAATGCCAAAAAGACACTGAACATTCAATTATAATTAATCTACCCTTCATATGGCTCCATCAATTGTATCTTCAAAAGGGGTGAATAGAATTAAGGCTCGTTTTCCTTTTAGAACTGAGTGGTATTTCTATGTACGTGAATGGTATTCCTATGTACGTCAGTACTCCGAAGCCATTACGGTCTTTCAAAGAGAATTTTGAAATAAGTCGATGCCATTGTTTCATGTTAATAATATTATTATAAGGTCTACGATTGTAAGTTAACGTTGTATATTATATTGGGGGGAAACATTCCAAGGTGTGGCGAAAAACGACACGGGGAGTGTAGGCAAATGAAACTTGCAGAAACACAAAGACGCACTGGTGATGATAATGGAGGGGGGGGGGGGGCAATCCAGCGAAAAGCTTGTGTGGTGTTAGACGCTCTAGAACCTGCCACTCGACGGGGGCGAGGGGGGGGGGGGACACAATGACACCATGTATGTGTGTGTCCAGTTGTGAGGGACAAAGACGAACACACAAATACATCAGTCTTCTTACGCCTGCAGTTTTGCTCGTCAGAGCTATCGGAACAGTCTGCCTGACCGTCGCAACGAAAGCCTGCGTCCACGCATTGACCGTTGGAACACCTAAATTGACCCGGGAGACATTCTTGGGAGGGAGGGGTAGCTGAAATAACGGGCAGCGAGCGAGAGGACCCCAGCCAGCCCAGGGCAAGTGTAAAAGAATGAAGAATCAGCAAAAGGGAATCCATTCGTCCGTGACGTAATTAACCGTCACAATTCACTTCATATCTTTCAGCATTCTGTACAACTCAGTTGAAGTTGTATCTTGAGATGCCTATGCAGTGATTATTCCTTCGCATTTATTAGGAAAGATTCAGGGAAATCTTTCTTCTGTTTCTTGTCATCTATAACATTATTATCATCCTGTTCTTCCATAAGTAATCCTTCAACGCTGAATAGCAGGACAATCTACATATATCAAGTACCTCACAATGAACATCAACACAGTTTACTTATCAGCTACAAGTTCTCACCAATGACATTATTTCACATGATCTATGTTTCTGAATTATGATGCTGCTTTGTTTTTTTCAACTTTCTCATTTCCCCCCCTTTTGGTGTCTGCATAAAAAGCAGCCGTTTTATCAGTCACCAACAAAAATATAAATGGACTCTCGAGGTTTAAATAATTATCAGTAGATACGCATTAATTCAGCTCTGCAAAAAATAAAACTTTTAGCAGCATAGTTGAGGCAAAGAATAATAATATCTTTATGAAAACCTCATGCCGACCTGCACATTGACAAGCAAAGAAATAAAATACAGTACCATCATTCAAAGTGAAGCTCAAAGTAAGACACAAGAACTATGATAAGGACATCGAGGGCGAAACATTAAGGAAGCTATAGCCTTAGGCTTGAAACAAAGAAATACATAGAGCAAAGAGTCAATGATGACCATGCAAGCATAAAACAAAGAGCAGCTATTACTATAAGGTTTTCACAAAAGTAATATGAATACGTTTTCTGATTATTATTCTGTAGTTTGCGAAACACAAAATCAAGAAAAGCAAGGTAGATTGTCCTTTGGGTAAATTTCCCCACCTTAAACAAATGAAATGGTATTCTCCCAAACACGTGAGAATAATTCTTAATTCATTGGCTTTTGAGGTGAAATTAAACTTGTCAATACATAATTATACAATACTGTGTTCATGATAATTTCAAACAGAGGAGACAGAAATGAAAGTGATCTGAACAAAGAAAGCCCCAACTATGTTGAAGGTGCCTCTTAAGTCGTGGTCACAAAAATTCAAACATTCCCTACAAAAGAGAATGTCATCAGCCAGTTGTTTAAATGTGCCAAGCCCAAAACTTTGCATTTTTTCATTTATAACACTTTCTGAATCTGTGGTATTGGTAGCGTAATACGCTTGAGAACAATTCGATTGGAATTCAATTATTATTCTTAATGTTGAAAAAAGCCAGAAAAGATACATAATCTAATAAGTACAATTTGTAAAAGTAAAAGAACTGAAATTTTTTTTTTCTCTCTCCTGAGAAATTTTACTTTCTGGGCTAAGGACATTTGAACAGCTAGCCAACAATGTATAGACATAGATCTAATATGATGAACTAGAATGAGATAAACGAACGACAAAATGTAATAAAATCAGGAAAAAACAACTACCAGAAAATAACAGACAAGGCAAGGGGAAAAAAACAACTCTGTAAGTCAGGATGAAGTCATCCAAGATGTTGAGAAGAAAAAAGAACATGTATGATAACAAATCAAAGAAGAGAAAAGACTAGAAAACATAAGATGGTACACCTTATTAAGGCTAAGATTCAACGAATGCATAAATTACAAAAAATCCTCGCTTCTCCCCACTACACCGAGCGGTTTCAGCGGAAGGAAAAAGGTAAAGTTAAGAATAGAGAAGTGACAAATAAGTAAATGTACTTACGACAATCAGCTTCATCTGAGCGGTCACGGCAGTCTGCTCGGCCGTCACAGGTCCTGCGGCGGTCAATACATTCACCATCTCCGCAGGTAAACTGGTCTTCTCTACATTCGGCCACTGAAAGAGTTAACAGAAGGAAAAGAACAATCATTGAAAAAGTTAACAGAAGGAAAAGAACAATGATTGAAAGAGTTAACAGAAGGAAAAGAACAATCATTGAAAGAGTTATCAGAAGGAAAAGAACAATCATTGAAAGAGTTAACAGAAGGAAAAGAACAATCATTGAAAGAGTTATCAGAAGGAAAAGAACAATCATTGAAAGAGTTAACAGAAGGAAAAGAACCATGACTGATAGAGTTAACAGAAGGGAAAGAACAATCATTGAAAGGGTTAAAAGAAGGAAAAGAACCATGACTGAAAGAGTTATAAAAGAACAACAAGCGATGACTGAAAGAGGTAGCAAAAATCAATGACCAAAGAGTTAACAAAAGAAGAAGAAAAAACCCAAGTATTGAAAAAATTAACAGAAAAAACAACAAACAAACAATGATTGAAAGAGACAATGGATGAAAAAAAAAACCCCAATGAAGAATTGCTCTTGCTGTGACTGCCTTCAATTACAAAAAAAATTCATTTATTCTCCTCAAAAAAAGGTGCTCAATTCACACACACACACACACACACACACACACACACACACACACACACACACACACACACACACACAAGTAGAAGATGAATAATTAAGTGAGCAAATGCTGGTGTCTCTGTAGCGAGAAAGAAGAAAAGCCCAATTAGATTCTCACCGCAGTTCAACTCATCGCTGCTGTCAAAGCAGTCTTGTCTCTGGTTGCAGCGAGATCCCTCGGCCACACACTGTCCGTTGGCGCAGCGGTACTCTCTGGGGTTACAGCCTGAAGATGTATCGGGTGTGTGGACAGATCATGATAAAGGATGGGTGTGTGGAGAGATCATGATAAAGGATGGGTGTGTGTGGACAGATCATGATAAAGGCTTTCTGCACCCATCATCATGGGCGAGCTCTACAACATTAAGATTGGTCAGAATGAAACTTACGTTAACATTTAGAAAGCAATACCTAACTATAATTACAAATTCGTAAGTATGTACAAAATCTGTGAGACAGCCCATTTTTACAGGTATATAGTCCTTGCATATCACAATTTTCATTGGATTTTCTCCTATTTTCTGTCAAAGCTTTGACTAACCAGAAACAGTTCTGTTTTAATTTAGTTCTTCCTTTGAAGATATTACGAGCAAGTTAAACATTACAATCTTTATTATTTAAATTAAATAATGCTAAACAGGACTCAGAAAAAGATGAAACAAAGTAAAAACAACTATGCAGCCATTTACAAAAAAAAAAGCAAAAGAAGAATGTTTCACTTACTGCAGTTGAACTCATCAGAACCATCAGGGCACTGCACAAAACGATCACACTTGTAGCGAGCATCAATGCAAGTTCCATCAGCACACTCAAATTCATTTCTGCGGCACTTGTCTGCAATTTAATTTTTAAAAACACCAAAAAGTCTTAAGTACTAAATCTAGAAATCTCAGAGTCAAAAACAATCATTCCATCTTTCAAAACACCGTAACCTCTTTTACCAAGGGCACACACAATGCTTGAAAGAATCACCTCTTATGAATTAAGGTAAAGATTCTAAAAGGAATCTAAATTCTGGAGCGAATTCTCAAAATTACAGATAAATCGTCTGTCCCTAGCCATTTTGTCTAACTGTCATATACATTTTATAATATGTTTCAAATGTAAGCTCCAGTTGCCTCATTCATAATGCTGTGCACATCTGAGCCACGGTAAGCCTGTGCCTGTGTAATTTCTTCAGTGATCCTCACAAGCAATTGCTTGTCATAAAGTTGTCACTGTCATGGTATAATTTGTGAGGGGGCGCGGGATTTAACTCTCCGATAAATCCTGAAAGGTTATTCAAGATAAGAGTACTCTGAATCTAAAGCACATCTCCGATAAGACTAATGCAAGTTTGTGGAGAGCGTTGAAAACTCCCAAAGTAAAGCAAGTTCAACAATGCTCAGTTGGGGTTTTCAGCAAAGTGACATCCACTCTTTACAGTATGGCATGATATGTCACAGAGAAATAGAACAATCATAAAACATCATTTTTTAAAATCTTACAGGAGGAACAAAAAACTAATTTTTCACAACTATATCCATCAGCAATACGTGGAATTCAAATTCTATTCAAATATTATTTTTACAAAATAGTTGCATGCACAACTCTGTAATTTCTACAGGGTATGTGCCCCTTCCCAGGGTCTTGGAATATTGTTTTTTAAAAACAAGATTTTTTGCCGAAAGCTTGAGCTACGATACTCGGTCTGCTATCCTGCAATGTGGCCTGAAACTGTGAGAGATTTTGTAGCTTGGGTACAGGTGAGCTAATGAAGGCGCTCACGTCAAATGAAATAACTTGGGTACAGGTGAGCTGATGAAAGCGCTCACGTCAAATGAAATAACTTGGGTACAGGTGAGCTAATGAAGGCACTCACGTCAAATGAAATAACTTAAAGCTTCACTTACCACAGTTGAGCTCATCGCTTCCATCGGTACAATCTGGCCGGCGGTCACAGACGCGGCGTTGGTCCAGACACTGTCCGTTCCCACACCTGAACTCCTCGTCTCTGCATGCTGAGGATGAGAACACAAGGACAGGGAAATGAGTATGAAAGAATTATTCTATTTACTCCAAACACAGTCCCTCCGAGACCTAACTTTGACAACATACTCTACGGAACATTACAGCAACTGCAATAAACCTGCACTTATCACTACATGGCATTGGATGGAAGGGCGAGAGCCCAGCAGTTGCTGGATCGATAACAACAACAACAACAACAACATCATTCCAAACACAGAATTACTTCAAACACAATTCATCATTTGATTAGAAGTTCATATTCTCAATAAAAGATTGAATTATAAAGAATGGAAGTACAACCTAGGCAAATTTGTTCCCAAAGATAAAAGCAATAGAATGGTATAAAAAAAACCAAACAAACAGAATTTATGTTTTCTCCACAACATGTGTCATTTACTATAGCAATCTCCTCCTCCCCCTCTCACACCAGGTGATACCCACCTCCTTGAATTGCAAATATCTCGACTTCTATTCAAGACAGATAGATCTAGCTATTTTTTTCATAGAAAGCAAGACAAATGAATAATTTTTCAGATGATATCAATAACTCTATATGCCCAAAAACTGAAAAAATTCCATATTCCCAAAAGCTGGAATAATCCACATGCCCAAAAACTGAAAAAATTCCATATTCCCAAAAGCTGGAATAATCCACATGCCCCAAAACTGAAATAATTCCATATTCCCAAAAACTGGAATAATCCACATGCCCAAAAACTGAAATAATTTCATATTCCCAAAAACTGGAATAATCCACATGCCTTAAAACTGAAATAATTCCATATTCCCAAAAACTGGAATAATCCACATGCCCCAAAACTGAAATAATTCCATATTCCCAAAAACTGGAATAATCCACATGCCCAAAAACTGAAGAGAGCTTACTTTCACCAGGTCATAACATCTGTTATTACGATATATTCAGCACTTACGGCAGTCGTCCTCATCACTCCTGTCCCTGCAGTCAAACTGTCGGTCACACCGGAGCTGGGCGGGGATACACTGACCGCTGGTGCACTCAAACTCATTGGCCTTGCAGGCTGCAAAGAGAAATTGAAGGAATATGTTTATTAGAGCTCAGTGGCACCCTCTAACCACCCACTGTCATCAAGTTGGAAACTATGACCTCATATTCATTGACATAATAACTCTTATAACAATAAATCTCAATATCTTTAACAGATTAATTCTACATTAGACGAACAATAACACCTGATAGTGCAGATAGTGAAGCGCATAGAGCTTGCTGTTGAGCAGGGATTTCAGCTATACAATTAAAGCTATTTATTATTATTATTATTATTATTATTATTATTATTATTATTATTATTATTATTACCTGACAATTTTGTTTAAAATGTCAGTGTTTTTCCTCTTCCATCAACACAATTTAGATCACTTAGGAGGAGGATAAAGCTGTATTACGTATATATTGCTTTAACACTTCGCTGTACACAGCCAGCAGTACAAAATACCCCATCTGGTCACCCAGCCAGGAGAGTGACTCCAACGGACTTCTTGGTCCTAACGCAGAACAGTGCCAGGTGACCGGAACGGATTATTTTCACCGGCGCATTACTGTGCCAAACGACCTCAAAGTGGTAAGATGAACAGCCAAGACGCACAAAGTGATAGATTAGATTGACACACTTACGGCAGCCAACTTCATCTGATCCATCGCGACAGTCAGTCACATCATCACAGCGACTCCTGATGTCGATGCACTGGCCATCATCACAGGTGAACTGAGCGGGACTGCAGGTCACCACTGAAATAAATGACAATTTCTCACACTACAATTCTGTTTTTGTTTTAGTAAAGGTTTTACGGCGCTCACAACTGCATAAGGTCATATGAGCGCCAGTATAATTCTGTAACATGATTGGCATAGTTTACAACGAATGTTAAAAACAGAACTGAAAAACTTGCTCCGTTCAAGTTCTACACCTCATTTGGAATATAATGCTGTGGATCATTTGTCCTCTTCCCACATTCTAGGTCATACAAAAAGCCACTAAAAGTGGCTTTACGTTTTCTTAGACTTGTTTTACTAAACAGCATTGCTTCCTTGAAGTTGTAAATTATTTTCACATGTTTAACTTACTTGTAAGATGGTGAACTAGTGAGTAAAAAAAATTAAAAGAACATTTGAAAAAAATACAAGATAGTACATTTAGTTTTCTGAATTCCAATGTAGCCCCACCCTGCCTGTTAGGGTCAACCCAGGTCGAGTGGGATACAGTACCTCCTCTCAGAGAAGGTCTAATGGAGAAGGAGATACTCTATCAAATACACAACATCTCCACTTGGGAATCAGATTCTTGTCTTCTGTGTGAAATGGTGGAGAGCCTACCATAACACAGCAGTCTCAGGAGAAGAGATAAGAAACAGAATACTGAATGATAAATAGCAGTGTAAGTTCTCAGGGTATTGGAGGTCAAATGGAAAAAGAAGAAGAGGTAGACCAACTGGCAGTACAATTAAGGGTGAGGCAATCACAATGATAGAGGAGTTGGCCAGGGACAGACTAGCGTGACGTCCACTGCTCTCTGCCTTGTGTACCTGACGGTGCAGGGAGCTTCACTCTTCTGCATGATGGCATTCTGTAATAGATGCATGTGTGTTCTAAAATTGTTGTCTTGAGGAGTAGAGGCAGTTAGATGTGTGGGGTAGCTTGGGAAGAACACATCACCTCAGATCAGTTAGTTTTCTACAGAATAGCAGATGATATTCCACTGTCTCTGAGGGGTAGTCACATAGTGGGCAGCCAGCATACTGACTGCTTTACTCCAATTCGGTTGAGATGTTGATTGAGGGGCACGTGTTGAGGTCTATGTTGGAAGATTATGGATTGACCTCCCCTCCTCAACTCATTGATTGTGTAAGTCAGTAAGTCAGTCAGTCAGTCAGTCAGTAAGTCAGTCAGTCAGTCAGTCAGTCAGTAAGTCAGCATGAGTTCTCACCACAGCCTTCCTCATCGGTGCCGTCGAAGCAGTCAGAGGTGCCATCACAGCGGCGACGAGCGTCGATGCAGATCCCAGAGTCACAGCGGAACAGACCCTCGGGGCAAGTGGGGGGCACTGTGGGCACTGGAAGTAAATTGCGGAGAAGTGTGAAGCGTTGTGACAAAATGTGAGGAAGTACACAGTAGAGAAGTGTGAAGTGTTATGACAAAATGTGAGGCATCACACAGTACAGAAGTGTGAAGTGTTGTGACAAAATGTGAGGCATCACACAGTACAGAAGTGTGAAGTGTTGTGACAAAATGTGAGGCCTCACACAGTACAGAAGTGTGAAGTGTTGTGACAAAATGTGGGGCATCACACAGTACAGAAGTGTGAAGTATTGTGACAAAATAATAATAATAGATAGCATTTGTATAGCGCTAATCCCCGCTCAACTGCAAGCTCTATGCGCTTCACAATCTAAACTATTACCCCAGCAGATCTCGAGAGCATTCTGAAACAACCTCAACTTCCTGGGAAGTATACAGTGCAAGCTGCCATTTATAGGCGCTTAAACACTAACATACTGACAAGATCTTTCACAGTCTATGTGAGGCATCGTGGTGAAATAAGGCGCTCGTAAAAATAATGAGATCGGAAAAACAGGCATTTTTCTCCCCATTTGGCAATTTTTATTGAATTTTTTGTTTTTTAGTTCCACTCCTTTCATGTCAATATAAAAACACATCTTCTTATGAATTTTACTGAAAAACATTGATTAAAGGCACAAAATATCTTATTTTTTTCTGTTGTCAAGGACACTTTAGCTATTAGAGTTACCAAACTTTGGAAGACAAAATGTGATAATTATCTTTGATTTTATTTTCCAATTTGACAGCAGCAAGACAACTATATTTCATTTTTTCCTCCAGTTCTACAAGAGCAGGAAAAAGAGGATACGCATTCAATGACGTCATGCTGTCACCGCAGTTTTATGCAAAAAAATCCTGAAATTATGCAAACTGAGCCGAAAAAAGTGAAATTTTGCGATTCTGTTGATAAGTTTTAGCAAAGAATGGTTAAGGAAAATAATCAGAAATTATGCAAAAAATTGTTAAATTATGCTAAATTATGCGGGGTGCATAAAACCTCCGGGGACAGGTCATGGGCACACTCACAGCAGAGTTCTGGGTCCTCATCCTCGTTGTTGGCACAGTCGGGGAAAGAGTCGCACATCTGGTTGTTGGGGATACAGCTTCCATCCTGGCAGGTGAACTGGTCATCTCTGCAGGCTGAAAAGACAAATGTCCATTTTAACATTGCTTTTGTGGAAGTTTTAAAAACCCTCTTAGGCGTAGAACGGGTTTATTTGATTCATCACCGGAGAGAGGTAGCATCTGTCCACTCACCGAGGTAAAGGGTGGAATAACATTTCATTGACGCAGGTGAAATATGCCGAACCTAATAATATCACTAATTTTTTTGTTATAGTTCTGCTCGTTGATAAGTTCGTTCTCAAAAGCAAGACAGCAGCAGAAGTTATTTCATACAAAAGTTGAAAATGCTAGCAACCTATATAATATGAGAGTTATGTTGGTGTTTCTTTTCCCTACATGTTATGCTTCAAACAGATTAGATAATTACAATAATTGTTATTGGCAATCACAAGCCAACATCGAAGCATCAAGTTAAAGTATTATCTCAAACAAAAAATAATGACAAATAAAGTTAAAACATACAAAAGTCAAAGAATTATTAGGTAACTTGATTTTTGATAATTTAGTAAAAAAGAAGTCAAATAAAGCATAATTAAGATTATATTAATAGCTAGTACTTTTAATATCAGTACATTATTCAACAAACAGGACTATAAAATGCAGATTAAAAATCAAATGAGGAACTGAAATAAATCATTCATGCTTAAAGCAAAACTTATATCAAGAAAGCGGAATCTTTCTGAGAAGTTGTGTGTAATAAGAAAAGACGTATTAAATAACCTGACACTTGTTCTCCTTGAATGCTCTTGAATCATGTTCATTTTGTCTGCACACATACACACACGTACAGTCACACACACACACACACACACACACACACACACACACACACACACACACACAATAGTTGATCTATGGTCCTACAAATTTCATCCAAACTTTTCAAGAGGACGAAAACCAAACCAGTTAGATGAAGAAACAGCAAACAACTACTTTTGAGTCTGGCTTTCTCTTCTAAATGGTAAAATAAGAAAAGTGAGTTCTTTCTTTCCTCAAACATTTTTATTTTTTAGGGAGGAGGTCCCAAATTACTTATAACTTTATAATGTATCCAAACAACAGTCTATTTATACCAAATGTTACAATATCAGCATTAGTCTTTTCAAGCCAAACTGTCAGGGCAACAACCATAATATACCAGCGGAGTAATTCTCCGACAACTTTCACAACCACTTTTTGAGCCAAGGCAGAGCACAAATTGTGAGAAAATATTGGAAATAGAACTTTCAGAATCAGAAGAACCACGATATTGATCATTCATTAAAAAAATTGTTAACAGTACCATGCACATCACGCAGTTCAGTTAGTCATCATTTGACATGCAGTTATAACTTGATTTGCGAATCATGAAATAAATGTATCAATCGACACCTCAAAAGATCTATTTATCCTAACTTAACATTAAGTCGACGGCTTATTCGTCTGATTCATCCTAAAAATTATGAAAAATTGACCAAGGTATTGTTTTTTTTAATGATTATTCTCTAACACCATTCTGCATATCTTACAACACTGTGTCCCTTGGGATAATCTTAAGATAATCCCACTGTTCAAAAATTGTCTTTCATAAAAAAAAAATTTTGGTTTTCCCTGCTTGTAACAGAATGGATAACAAAATTTCAAACAAAACGAAAAAAGCGTGCTTTAATTAGCTTAAATCACCACTGGACCAGTAATTTAATGCTTTTGGACCATTGTTCATTAAAAATGACAAAACACTTCTGGCTTTTAACACACTGCTGTCAAAAGGGTATTATTTACACACTTCATTAAAGCAATATTTTCCCTTTTTTTTTCTCAAGTTCATGATAGACTAAAAGTATAATGTCCACAATCATATAGATCAATAAGTTAATGATTAGAGTATGATTGTTGATTAGTTCATTGTTCATTGAATTATAGGGCTTATTATCTTTTTTTCTTTACAGTGGGATAAATGGTTTATGGAGAAGTGAGTGGCTTATGTTTCCTTGTATCTCACTTCACGTTTGGTCCCAAATATCATCTCACAAAAAGGCCTCTCCGCAGGTTGTCGGATAACTAGTTTGTAGTGATATTAATAGGAGTATATTATGTTCAACTTTCATTTTTTAAAAAGGGTCTACACATGGGCTTGATCTCTCATTTCCAGGCTAATAAAATATGGTTCTAAAAAAGAAGGAAAACAAAGAAGTTCAATAGAAAACAAAGGAGAAAACACAGAAAAAACAAACTTGAAACAAGAAAACAAACCAAAACTAATGCTAAACCAAACTCAATTTTTGTGGACAGTCTTATGAAGTTGTTTTTTTAAGGATTCCTCTAGACTTTTAAAAATATTTGTTTCTTGCCTGTCATAAAAGCTAAAACAAGAACATAAAAAAAGAGACAGACAGAAATTGAGCCTGCAAAAAAAAAGTAGGAAAAAAAAAGGAAACAAAATCTACAAAAGCTAAAAACAAACCACTTGAAAGCCATCTACATAAACAACAATGATTTTTTAAAAGCGAAGAGTTCTACAGATGAAGAAAATCAAACGCGAACAAACGTGAAATGAAGACAGAAGCACAGACAAACTCAATGATGGAATAAGGAAAGCACACAAAAGCTACACTTGAAAAAGTACAGTTCTTTACAGGCATTTTACTGCTTCTTCAATATGACTAGCAATTTGTAGACTACCATTCCCACATCTCACAGCCCTCCACTTATGAAATTCTCATTTCATATTCACATAAAAAATAATATAAACTTTACACTTAGTAACATTATTCCGTCTTGTCCTTTTATAAAAAATTAAAAAGACAACATACAACATATTGTATTATTGCCCTTCTATCATGCTTATCTTATTCTATTCTCTCTTCTTTTCTCAAATAAAGAGTGAAATAAGAGCCTAGTGCGGTTGCTGTAATATTAGGCAGCAACAATTACCCCGTATTCACAAAGCAGAAATTACGATTTCACAATTACTGATACTGCCAGTTCAGCCATGGGTGGGTTGGGGGAAGCGAACACACAAGACCTGCGAGGAAAACGGTATATCAAATGCACCAGCCAGACTGCCGGCCAATCGCTTTGACTTTGCGGCGAACGCACGAACACGCACAACAGCAGCAGGAAAAGCGCAATCAGGGGAAAAGGGAAACAACTAGAGCTCAGTTTTTAAGCTTTTTTTTTCTCTCTCAATGTCTCCAAAGAAAAGTGCCACACACAGCTAGCTGCAGACGAGTGTAGAGTCAAGCCAGGTGCTGGCACAAACAAACCAAAGTAGTAGAGGAGGCAGGGTTCCCAGATTTTGAGGAGACGGAAAAAAAAATGAACAGAAATCTTCCCAATTATTTGTCAAAATTGAACAAAGTTGTTGTACCTTTATGTTGCGCTAAAATGACAAAGCAAATAAATGACTTATTTATAACTGATCAAGTGGCAATTCTATATATTATACAAAATGCAGATGGAGGGGCATTGGGCATTATGTATACGCAAGCAGGAAAATAACCCCATGATGACGTATAGCATAAAATTGATATGAATGCCAACATCAAAATAGCACACGAGATCAGAATTTTGATGAATTCATCCCCTTTTACAATGAAGAGCAGCAATAAAGCTTTAAAACTGGAAAATGGTAGATATATTATAGAAAATTAAAACCCTTTAGAAAATTCTCTGCACTCCAGAATACTTTAACTACAAAAGTCACCGTAAAGGGAAAAAAAATATTACGTTTTCTTTAAAACTAGAATATGATATTTATATAAAATGATCCCCTCGAGCGCTTTAGATAAAGAGAAATCATTATAATATAGAATGGAAAAAAGTCCACATAATTCTCTGAGTTCCAATGCTTTTCTTTCATATCTAAAAGACATCATTATAATTTTCTTTTTCCTCAGTTATTTAGTGTGAATTTTTTTGTTTCATTTTCCCAATCTCCAATCTCCCTATACAAATAATCATATCAAAAGTAGACTACTTTTCTTCACGTTGCTATTTTGATGTGGCTTTGCGGAAGGTATATATAGAGCTGCTAGTAGAATATTGTTGTTGTTGTTGTTGTTGTTGTTGATCCAACCCAGTCTAGGAACCCTGGCCAAGAAGAGGCCCAACCAGCAACTTACGACAGTCCAACTCATCGGAATTGTCGGGGCAATGTACGATTTGATCACAGCGCTGCGCCATGGGAATACATTGACCACGTTCGCAGCGAAACTCTCCCGGAAAGCATGGCTTTGACGCTATAAACAGTGATGGTAGGAAAGTACGATTTAATATTTTGACCATCACCAAATAATTATGGGACTAGCAGATTAACATTGCTATAAAATCTGAAATGTTACAAGCTTGCTGGTGTAGCCAAGTAACTCTTAAGAAAGCATGAAATGATAGTGTCTTAGGTCACACACATTAATCTGTGTATCACCCTTGACTTCTTATGGTTCTGAACAAAGACTGTTTCCCCTCATTAAAATAAATAAACAGATAAATAAAGACATCTTGAACAAACATGGAAACACTTCTTACATGCAAAAGTTTGCAATCAAGAGAAAAACAATCTTTCTTGAGTGTTAAATTGTTTTGTGGGGTTTCACAGCTTTAGGGTTTCTTTTTTGTTGTTTTCCTTTTGAAAAGTTATTCAGTTCATGTTATGAGACACTTTCAACTACATGAGAGAGCTTTGTCTTAATAGAAACTCTGCATTATTCTGTCACACATATATGCCTAGATATGCAGACACACAGGCACAGACATACGGAAACAAAAACACAACACAACACATATACACACAGACACACACACACACACACACACACACACACACACACACACACACACACACAAACACAAACACACGCACATAAAACACGTAATATCATTTATTTTTGTAAAGTCATTTACACAGTCAGAGAGATTATATTGATAGGCCTATAATTAAATTTTCTCAAAAGAACTAGACTATGATTTTTCTTTTTAAGCAAAAAGATTTTTTTCTTTCTGTGCCCAATTATCAGAACATCACTTTCCAGTTTACTTTGAGCTAAAGAAACATTTTACAGGGAACTGAAGTAGCAAGTCAAACCAAAGAGTAAAAAAAACCATGATTAAGATTGCATTAGCTCTGTAAGAAACAACAAGTATGAACTGAATTAAGTAGCAAGGTTACGTATTAAAAGACAAAATCAATTTGAAAATGCGGTAAGTGCAAAGGGTTACCAGTGACCAAAGAAAAATCAAACAAGCCACCATGATTATTTCAGAAACAAAAAAATTCTAATCTAACAACTGAGTTACTATTCATTTATGTGATAATCTATTTCACTAGATAATAAAGTTTTGGACGAATCTATATCTAGTACTGCTAAAAAATCAAATAAAAAATAAAACATACAGAGTTTCCTCAATCCAGCCTATATCCTAAAGAACCAGTGCAAGTCAGCATCATTCAAACTAAATGTTCAAAAAACAGTTTAGTATGGGACCTATCAGGACTATGAGTGGGAGAAAGAGTGCAGCACATCTTGTGACTATCAATGTAGCTTCTTACATTCCTAAAATACAAGACGCAAAAAAAAAAAAATTTCCCAAACTCAAAATCATTCTCTGCATTTTTCCTTTGAAAGAATGCAACAGGTGGAATGAATACACCATTCACGTCTTAGTGTTTGAAAAGGAAAGTTCATCTAAAAGAACAGGAAACCTATGTAGTTTCTAAATTTTCGAGATGATGCTCAATTTTCCAGAATGGAAATAATACAGGGTGCATCTTTCTCGAAGTGCTTCAGGTGGATATCATGCCCAATAGTGACTGCAAAGATCTTCTCATTCTAAGACAGGTAGTTTTTTCTGGGGGTTCTGGGGTTGTTGGTTTTTTTCACCTCTTACTCACGACAAGATTCTTTTAAACAAAATAGAAGCAAAGGGATATCAGTCCCGAATACTGCATCTTTTATATGAGACTGAATTCAGTTGTGCACTGTCCAGTCCCTTTTATGACTGATTCATCATCCCCTCCTTCTCCAAACTTAAAGAGGTTAATCTGTCTTAGAATACTTGATCTTTGCAAGTTAACCCTTACAGCATCAGACTTATTTTAACCCTCACTTCCCTCTGGCCCAAGTAATGCTGCGCAGTCCTTGAATCCTCAGGCTCAGCCAATACTGATTGCATCAGCAGTTTTTTACTAATGTAAAAAAAAAGAAAGAATTTCTCTACTCTTTTGATAAAAAATTTAGAAAAAACATGAAGATATTTTTCCGAGACAATTTTTTTAAAAGTATGGTAAACATTCCCCACTCATTTCAAGGTGCCTGGTGGCCGGTAGGGAAAATATTTGTGAATGGGCTCAGGGAACGAGAACTCATGAGGGAAAAAATACGCAACCGCGGCTGTAAGGGTTAAGTCAAACTTCAAAAAAAAAGAAGAGAAACGGCAGTGCCGGCAGGAACACTTACGGCAACGGAATTCATCGTCTCCATTTGGGCAGTCGGCGCGACTGTCGCAGCGGAGGAGAGCGCTGATGCAGGAACCGTCGCGACAACGGAACTCGTCGGCACTGCAGCGGGCTGCAACGAGAAACAATTAATTCCACATTCTTAGAATGACACAGTTTTAACTCCATGATGAGCAGTTTTGAGAAAACGGGCTAACAAAAATTCACACTCTTACACTAACACTTTTTAATACCGCTGAAGTCATTTCTGTTTTTAAATTAATAAGATGAATATTTGGAGGTATTTTTTTTTTATCAGAACACAATGTTTCATGTTACTGTTGTACGTTTTATAGTATTGTAAAGCGCTCAGAGCCTGTGTACTTTAATCAGGGATGAGCGCTATATAAACGTTATTTTTTATTATTATTACTTTATTTGTTAAGAAAGCATCAAACTGAAAAAACAAAAAATACAGGTCAGATTGTCTCAAACCTTTGACACAGTGTGCAGGGCATCGCTGTGCTACTAATGTGTAGTGTGTAACTCAGTTCTCTAAAAAAGTAGAGCTAGAACTCTGTCATTGTAAGTGTACACTTTTGTTATTAATACATGTAGCATAAGAAGAAGATGGAGATCTAAACATCATTCAACTTTAGAACATAGCTTCACAAGAGGCAGTTATTGAGAGTAGCTATCACCCCCCCCACACACACACCTCCTCCAACCCATTTTTCTTTTGTTCCTTTTACAAAAAAAGTGAGACAAACTTGCCAAATGCTTCCTCCCTAGCGTATTTTTCAGAAGTGTTTTATGAACTATACAAACCAAAAGACATAAAAAGACATAAAAGGGTCACTATATTAAATGATAGAGTGTAAATTGTGACTGCGATCTAGCAAACACAAGCCGGGTTAAAGTGTTTACTTGATGGGCAGTTGTTCTCATCCGATCCATCGAGGCAGTCCCTCACTCCGTTACACTGGATCACACGTGGGATACACTCTCCGGATGAGCAAGTGAACTCATCCTCGGCGCAGCCAGCTGGAACATAGGACAAGGAAATGAGGATGAAATAAACTCACGAGATTCAACACAGATAGCTTCTTTATACACAAATTACATTACACGTCATAATATCAGGATGAGTTTAGAGATTAATCATTACTCGGACCATTCCATGCAGAAAGGGTCTGAGCCACAAAAAATGAAAATATAAAATAAAATACACAAAATGACACTCTTGTCAACTGAACCTGAAGAGAAGTAGATGTAGAGAAAACCACAGTTGATGCCTTCAGACTGAAAGTTCACCCCAAAAATTTGAACACCCAGATTTCTTTTTGGAGGAGAAAGTTGAGAAGTTTTTCTCTACAAATCTTTTGTAGAGGTATCAAACTCAAACAACACAAGCTTTTCCAAGGATACTTTTTAGCATAGGAATACAAAGAATCGCAGGATGAGACATAGGTAAATCTAAGAGTCAACGGCATGACAAAATAGTGTGCTGAAGTGAGTGTGTGTGTGTGTGTGTGTGTGTGTGTGTGTGTGTGTGTGTGTGTGTATGTGTGTGAGTGTGCGTGTGTGTGTGCGTGCACGTGGGTATGCAACACCAGAACCTTATATTGGCAAAGTGACTTTATGACAAAGAGAAATAAGATTTTAATTAAGTATTTGTTCTTTATGAGGTTAAAGGATTGCTTTAATATCACAAAACATTGCCAGCTCAGCAGCATATTATATTACAACCATTTCAAATCTATTAGAATGCAATTGTGTTAAAATGAGTTACATTGGAAAAGTTTAAATGGAAAAATCCTCTATAGTTTTAAAACAAGATTTTTTTTCCATTCTTAGACAAGTTATTTCATAATATTTTATTTGAAAATTCTGAATTCTTGTCTGACCAGGTTCAGAGAGCAATTGCTTTGCCCCGTTGCACTTTCTTTGTGTATTGACCTAAATTATCATCTTTTTGTTAAAGAGAAGGAAATTATCACATTAATGTGTACAATCAAAACCCGGAACTGAAATAGTAGAAAGCAAGATCACTGCGCATATTGCAACCTCCAACCACGCAAACATAAAATCTCCAATTCAGTCAAAAGTAGAATGGTGAAAGTTCTAACATAGGACCCCTCTGCTGTTTTTCCAAGCTGAAGCTGCATCCATTTGATTTAACTTTTCATTATTTACGATTTTTTCGTCGTTCACTGCTATTTGAAGAACACGGCAGTGCCTTTTGAATGCCTCGTGAATTTTTTTACAGACAATGCATTTTGGTCTATTTTTTTCCTCAATCCATCATAAAATAACAGCTTAAATGCAGCATCTCTGAAAATTACACTTATTGAAGTGAATACAGAAATACTTTGTACTTGATGATTATGGGACAGAACGTTTAGTGGATAGCACTGTGAATATTGAATAGCAAATGTCGCTGATGCACATATTTATTCGTTAAAAAAAACCCCATTCAAACAGATATGTGAATAGCATGAATGGTGATTTTACTCTTTGAAGCATCGATGAAGTTTTGTTTCCGAGAAATCGCACGATACTATATTATATAATCAGCACACGAGTACCATGAGAACAAGATACCGATACAAAAACATACGACTGTGGTGAAGACGTCAAACAGATACAATAACCAACAAAATGAAACAGATCAGCATTCCAGAATCTGAGTAGACAATTTTCCACACAGCAATATATATCGATCTAGATACTTTTCCAAACACCAATGCAGCACAGTTGAACTGAGAGTGAAAAAAAATATTTTATATAACTGCATCCCACGAGAATTTGACACAAAAGAGCTTCACGCCAAAAAAATTCAGTCAAAGATGAAACCATCCAGTTTTAAACATGATCTCTGAAACATTATTACTAACATAATTCTTTTTGGACATGATGAGTTTAGAGATTAATCCTTACACGAGAGATTAATCCTTACACGGACCATTCCATGCAGAAAGGGTCTGAGCAACGACGATAGAAAAAACAATAGAACAATCTTGTCCACAAAACTGATGAAAATTATCTGTCTAAAAATCCACAGTTGATGCCTTCACACTGATAGTTTACTCAGAAAGTTCGAAAACTCAAACTTCTTTTTCCAGGAGTAAGGACTTTTCTTAACTGTTTCTTCTAAAAATCTTTTACAGAGACACAACAGACTTAAGGCTTACTTTTCACTATAATTCTTTATTTTTATTTGATGCTGTGAAATTATTCCTATGTTGCTTAGGCTATGAGTAGATCGATGTCAATGTGTCTCTCTTACTGAAGAGAAGGAAACCAGTGTTCATTGATTGGTAGTTATTGAAAGCTACAATTCAACAAATTATTTGTAGGGTCATTTTCAACAATAAAAGTTTTCAAATCTGACTGCCACATACTTCTTTTATCCCTGGTCGTACGCCTATGCATTAAAAAGCTTTTAGGAATTGTATATTGTCTTATAGAAATATAATTCTACCTTAATGCATTGAAACCTTACAGTCCGCAAACTAGATAGAATGGACTGAGTGAAAGGTACCCAGAATGCAATGCACACAATACAATGTAACAAGGTTAAAAAGGAAAATAGAAAATTATATAAGTTAAAAAACAAAAAGAAAACAAATCAAGAAGACTTCCAAATATCATTCCAGCCTTTTAGGTAAAAGTAGTAGCGATGGTAATTAATGGTAGTAGTAGTAGTAGTAATGGTAGCAATGTGCAGTGTGTAAGTATTAAAAAAACTGACAAATTGTTGTTATCGATCCAGAACAAATTAAATTATCAGAGCTTCCATATAGGCTCTCCATTTTGTCTGCTACTTACAGCAAAACCGTTCATCTGACCGATCAGGGCAGTCAAAATTTCCATCACACCTCAACCTGCGATTAACACAGGTTCCATCGGCACAGCGGAAACGTCCTTCCAGACACGGTTCTGGCTCCTCGTCTGTCGCTGGTTAAGTAAAACAAGCCGGTCATGCTGACTCATGCATCAGGGAACAGTGGAGCCAGAGAGTGAGTTGTGAACAGCTAAAGCAGAGTCTGACATACCCTCCCCCCTCCTCCTCCACATGCCCAACCTCCCCCCCTCCCTCCCTACCCCTATCCCATACCTACCTACCTACGTACCTACCTACCTACCTACCTACCTACCTACGTTGAGAGCTTGGAGTAACTACTCCAAGGTACAGAGAGTTTTACAGTAATACAACTCCCTATGGTCTGTTTTTACCCTCTAGCCCCGCCCACCTGTCATGGCGGCCAGCATGGTTTACGACCAATGGAGGGTCAGACCAGGACCAGGGGAGCGCAGTATCTTTTCGGAGACGTCTCCGAAGGAGATAGACCAATCAAAATGCTTTGTACCTCTAGACTAAGTTAAAAAAATCTTGGGGGTTACATGCCCCCTGTATTAACCCATAAGTTGATATTTTGCAGTTAGGTTTGGATTTTTTGTTGTTGAAATAATTGATTTGCGATAGTTTTAGTGACTATATTTGTGATCTGCAGCAAACAATACGCAGTATGACTCCCAAAAGCAGTGCATCTGTATGCGGGAGTGAGTCTCCGAATAGTTCCTGGATGCTCGCCGGAGGACGTCTCCGAATATCTTTTGCCATTTCGACCAGTGGAGACGACTGACTTCTCGTTGCCCTCCTCCTATGCATCCGACCAGTGGAAGGTGCTGAGAAAATACCGTCACATAAAAGTTTCTCCTTCTTTAGCTTGGTTTGCTTTGTTCTCTCTCTCTCTCTCTCTCTCTCTCTCTCTCTCTCTCTCT